GTGTTCAACTGGCCTTGGTCAGTCTTTCTGTTGTATTCTTTCAAAGTTACAAACCATCAAAAAGGCGAAGACCGGTACGAGCCACCTTAAAACTCGGAGTACAAGGTTTGGGGAAAAGAACTTTTAATATCAACCTAACTGACCTCTCGTCTTCATTCTGCATTACGTCATCAAACGTTTCCTTCTCCTGGTACGTCTGCGCGCTGTGTTTCGTACGTTCTCAGTTGTTATTCTACAGAAGCTGTAAAAAAAATAGTCACAAAAGACATACTTTATTTGAGAAGCGATTTTATTGAAAATATCGGATTTTAACGTAGTCAAATTTTCGATTGAATGAATTCGAATGATTAATGTTCGCGTTTAACTTACAAAGTCATCTGAGAAAAAAATTCCAGTCATCAGTGACCGGTCCCTATTAATCACGAGGGGAGGGGAGGGGGGGAAGGTTCGGAGGATTCTGGGAAATCGCGTGGTTTTCAGAGGGAGCGGGGGCTAAGTCGTCGTTAACAGGGTATAAAAGGGGGACTTACCCCCCATTCGCTTTAGCAAAAAGCTAACGCTCGAAAAGAAAACTCAACGGAGGCCAATTGTGCAGTTCCAGAAAATATCCATACCCCTTACGGAAGGGTTTTTCTTTTTAATCCCCCATTCCCTCGGAATTTCCGTTCCAGGGGGTTTATGAAGAGCCCCCTCTCCCCTAAGGAATTTCTAGAATTTTTTTACTCTCATCTTCGAACCTCTCAGAAGCTCCAAGTAGTCAGTATACGCGGAAAATTTTCGCATTACCAACTTAGTCGATAAAACCAAATTATCTTATTTTACCCGTCTCACCATGCAACACCACAGTTTATTTTAGAAACTTACCGCCTTCCTGTATTTGTTAAGTCAGTGTCAGCTATTCGAAAGATCCGACGATGTTTCTCAGTTACATTTGTTCACCTTTTCACGGAATGCGTTTCTCGATCGATTAAAACAATTTCTCACAGAAACCATAATCAACAGAAGTATTTGAAATGCCTTGAAGAATTTGAATAATACTGCTTACCTCCACCACAAAGTATCGACTTCTATATTCCAGTAATACATGCAGTCAAATCACTTTTTATTCCTGAAGCTTAAAAAATTTATTTGGGTATTTGTTCTTTACAAAGAAAAATAAACCTTACATTCCAACCAAGCTGTATTTTCAGCGTGTAGCGTTTGTCTGAATTTTGTTTTCGCTGACTTGACAACGGCGAATCCTTGATGTTAGACGGAATTCTGTCAGGAAGCTTTGTAGCAAAGTACAACACAAAAACGGAGGCTTTAGAAGAAATTCGACCAATACACCAATAAAACTAGTTAGACTCGAGTAAAATCCGTTGTTCGCTGCAAAGATTTGTTGCGCAACCACTCTAAATTTTACTGCATTGGTATTTCGACCACTTAAAAGTTGTTTACGCCGATGGCTATTTTCAGTTTGGAACCTTAAAGTGGATTTTAAGATTACAGCAACTTAATCCAATGATTTGCACTCGATCTCTGTCACTAACTGCGGACATTCTTGGACATGGGTAGAAATTGTGACGATGCATGTGTGTCGTAGATATAGTTGTTGTTGTTGTTGTTTTTTTCTTTTTTTTTCTCATTTCTGCTAGGCATTCTAGATTACTTGTCAACCTGCCAATGAATTTTTCCAAATACGACAAAAAATCACTTACGCTAAATATTTTTATAAACTAGACGGCAGGACGATGTTTTTCGAGGTGCTATGCAATTGTAAATTCTACGACAGATTCAGTTAGGGTTACTAGAAGTTGAACGCCGATTACTTTTAGAAAAACAAATCTGGAAAACTGACAATGAAGGCGATTTTATGGCAAGATGTCGTTTTAAACGAGGATGATGTTTTGGTGGAGTTTTGGAAGTGGAATCATTTGGAAGTGCCTATATTACGGGAAAAATAATTCAACGCGCATACAACGAAAACCTAAAATTATTATTTGAAAACTTTGCATTGGAAATTTTGTTTTAAGGCAATCATCGGTTCAAAAAATTTGTTGAGGAAAGGAGTCAAGTGATATGTTGTTATTTTTTACAAGTTATGAACCTGACAAAATTTTCAGACCCCTTGCCTTTAGAACATGAAACAAAATGAAACAGTCGCCAAATCACTGTTTACCCGACAGTTGTCGACAGTTTTTCGTAAGCGGCAAGATTATGATCGTATTAAGATGTACCATATTGACATAAATTGTCCTGTTGACTGATTCTATCCATTGAAAACTCATGTTTCTTCCTGATAAAAAAATATTTCAGATAATTACTTGCAGTTGGCGAAAAGAACAAGTCAACAAGCGCCGAATACTGCAAGGTCGCATATCAGTCGTTGGAATTTGTTATTTTCATATTTTCTTCAAGAAATGCCACAAATAAGTCTACACAGCACGTTTAATTTTACGTATCTGAAGCATTCCTATCGTTCTGTTAAATAGCAACATCGCTTCCGATTGTAATGTGCCGAATAAAAAAAGAAAACAGTTCGTTTGTAGAAGAAGGCGATAACGTGTAGAGAACATCGAATTCAAATGAAGTGTTGGTGCTGTACTTACAAGTTGCTAAGAACGCGCCAAAAATCCGAGGAGCCTTGCGTCCATTTACGGTAACCGCTGAACGAGGGTCAGTGAAAACAATTGTCTGCAAACTCTTCACAGTTTTTTAGTTTGACTAATTGTTAGGCAAGGTTGACTTAAACACAACTCGAAGTCAGATGTTGCGTTGCAAATGGCACTCGATCGTAAATGATTTCACAACAATCGAATTAAGCACCGTAGGTTGCCGTGTCAACAACGCGTGAACCACGAAAGATCAGCTTTCGGAATTTCGTCCGATTGACGAGTGAATTACATTTTTCATTAAGTGAAAGGTCATATCAAGGTCCCTTGGCTTCATGCCAAAATTAAAGGAGCTTACAGTCAAAGTTAAAAAGACGTCAAAGAGACAAAATCAAGAAGGGCAGTAGAACTTGGGCATAACATGTGTTACAAACAAATTCCTATGTTCAACAGAAGTGGTCTTGCCCCCCCCGTGGGGGGTATGGAAAGGAATACTTGGATACATTTTTTCTGGGTATGTCCTGCTGGCCACTCACAAACCCATCCCCATCCTCCGAAAAAGTGAAAAACACCGCAGGAAAGATAATCTGGAAAAACGTAAACTTTGTTGAAGGAAAACTAAATTCACACGCTACTATACGCGATAGTGCTGCAGCAGAGCTAAGTAGGAAAGAGCTGAAAAAGCTATTAAGAAGTTTTTCCATTGTATTTTAATTCTGTTTGATTGTTTGATAGCTTTATCGTTAATTAATTGAACATCCTCGGGCGGTCCGAAGCATTTCTATTTGTAACACTTACCAAACACAAACAATTTAAAGTTACTTAGGAAAAAAAATTAACCACGAGTCAAAGCATCTCAAACGACACCGAACGAAATTATTTTTCACGAACTTCTCGCTGTAAGTGAATCTTCACATTTTGAACTAAGAATTTTGTCTATTGATTCACTGAAAAAAGCTTAGCTTTCCTCTAGATTGAAATGCGATAAATTCCCACTCAGTATTACTGATAAATCTCGGAAAAAATTGAACAAAATTGGCGTGCACAATCACGTAGAACCATAAGGGAAACAGGAAACCGAGTGTTAGGGCGTGGCCCTCTTCTCGATTCACTACTTGTTAGGACGTAGTCGTGTTTGATTCCTTTAAAAGAAAACTTTAGCTGACCCAAAACGCGGTGGGCTTGGCATATTCCATAGCTTCGGATTGGTCACTTTGCAATCTGTATCCGGGTGTTGAGGTATAATGGCCCGGATGTACTCACTGAACTGAGCCAGCGGACATGGAGACCTGCGGCAGTACGGGATAACACGTTCTTGCCCTTGGTAGAGCAGCCTCACGGCATAATCCGTGTCTTTTGAACTAGTAGTTTCCAGTAACTCCAACTGAATCATGGAGGCGTATGGGCTCCAATTGCCGTCGCTTGCGTTGAAGGCTGTCATGAAGGGCATAACTGAAGGAGATGAACACCATTAGAACCGACTGTTACCCGAGCAATCGAACGTAACCCGAGTCTCCCGAACAGTCTCCCGAACAGTCTCCCGAACAGTTTCCCGGAGGAGATGCACTGACTTGACTCTAACCCCTTGAATCTGATCCTCGCATGACTTTTTTTCGTGCCTCCGAACCGAACGTAAGCCGGGAGCTCGCCACAGCATCGAAATCATTCGACTGTGATACGATCTCAGCCCGATGATGTCAACACCGCGAAGGAACCCTCGTCTTCAAATAACACCATAGAATGAGCCGAAGACCCGATCTCTTTCGAACTTTTCTGGAACCGTACACCCCGCAATTCAATCAGTTCAAATGTACCTCCTTCCGAGCCGAGGAAATTTTTCTCCTCAACTACTTCACATATTACAATTTTGTTTTTTCTTGCACGAAATAAGTCTACTATACCTGTATAGTCGTGGCCAGAGTAAAGATAAAACTTTCTAGCTTTACTTTCTTCCAGAGCTTCTTGCATCGCCTAACGAACAATAAAGTTTTGCTTAGATATATTACAGTGTTCTGTGCACAGTGCTCTTAACTTGAGTGGTCCGAGTTTAAGTACTGGTCGTTTGGTTTATGTTGTCTTCTTAAGCAAAAAACGCAACATTGCACCGGGTTATCACCCAATACTATTCATGTATTCCACCAAATTATCAGGAAGAACTACTGTGACATTAAAATAAATCATATTACCAGGAATGGGCGAAAAGACTTCTCTTCAGGGCGAAACGACTTCCCTTCCTGGAGAAAAGACTTCCATTCCGGACGAAACAAATTCCCTTCAGGGCGAGATCACCCAAGGGCGAAACATGAGCAGCTTCTCTTCTAAACGAGCGGCTACCTTAATTCTAACTACAAGGCAGCAAAGGCTTCCTCTTCACGAATTCCCGACACGCTCCCTTACCATCCAAATCTCGCTGATCAGAAATCCAATGCCAACTTTGGCGTGGTCCTGTATTGTAGGATATTCAAAGGTGGCATACCACATGTACTCCACTTCACTGGCAACGCGCTCCACAAGGTCTGACGATACAGTGGGTGGGATAGGGAACCCGTGACAAATGTGGACAAAAAGGCAGTCTGCAATGTGGTTCAAACCCTCTGGGGCTGTAAAGAAGAAAAGAAACAAAAAGCATGTCAAGAAGAAAAGAAACAAAAAGCATGTCAAGAAGAAAAGAAACAAAAAGCATGTCAAGAAGAAAAGAAACAAAAAGCATGTCAAGAAGAAAAGAAACAAAAAGCATATCAAGAAGATAGTGTCCACACTCGAGCCGGAGCTGGACTTCCCATCGAAATTAACCTTGAGCCGACGACTCAGAAAGCAAACTTCCGTCAAAAGGACTATTTATTAATATACCAAGCCCTGGCCTTCAAGCACCTTTCTCAGACCCCTCAATTTCACTGGTATACAGCTTTAAATTAAACTTTTAACTATAATTTTCGGGAGTTTTCGTCCGTGATCCGGTTCGCACTGTCCGCACTCAACTTCCAGTATATCAGATTCAAAAATCAAGCAGTTATTCAAGTTTAAGAAATGGAGAGCTTGGGGAGCAAACCCGGAAAAAGAGGGGGGGAATTACTTAGGTCAATTCTTGCTGGGTATGTGCCAGTCTCCTAGAACACCAACCCCATCTTTTCCCTTTTGGGCAAATGAAATTTTCGCCATCCAAACTCAATCACTTTCTGTTAGTGCATCTAGCGAAAATAGCGTTTGAAGTTAATATTTACTTCACCCCAAAATGTGCGATACCATTCTGGTAAAAAGACCCAAGCCCATCTATTAAAGTCAACCCAGTCGTGAAAACGCCACCCCATCCTCGGAAGTACCCCCCCCCTCCCCGGAGCAAATTAAAGAGGAATTAAAATCTGTGTTCTGTATGAATTCACCATGGAAGACCGTGTTGATTCAGTTGGAGCTAACTTGTTTTCCCCCTAAAGGTGAAGTAAAAAAGAGTGCAAACCCAAAGGGTGTGGCCTGGCTTATGGGAAAAATCTTCACTATATAACATGCTGAATCATTTTAAACTTACTCAGTTTGTACGTGAGACCAAGTGCCTTCTCAACTTCGGCCAGTAGAGGTTCAGTTTTTTCATTGTAATGCTGTTTCCATGATTCAGATGCAAAGAATTCTTTCTGATATTGATTTAACTTGGGGCAAAGACTGAAAGGGCAAACAATTCTAGTAAGCTTCAAGGGTGGTGTAATTCAGTGTTCCAACCCTACAACGAAATCTGTAAAAACCCAGGTAGACTACACATGGCACAAGGGAAAGACTACAAAGGGAACATGGTGAGAGGGGTGGGTTAAATACAGAAAAACCCAGCAAGGAGAAATATCATTTCACTCATTGTCCAGTTCAGCTGAAAACAGCATTCCCACTTGACTCTGACAATGCACATTCAATATCCAAATGAATAAAGGCTGACAGTTTCAAAAGAAACTGTTTGGGGCTGCGTCGGTGGGGGTAACGAAATAATTTGGATATGTCAACAAAGTTGAAATGGTTAATTGGCCACCGTAACGATTACAAAAGCTGACGTTTTGAGCGTTAGCCCTTCGTCGGAGCGAAACGTCAGCTTTTGTAATCGTTACGGTGGCCAATTTACCATTTCAACTTTGTTGATATATCCAAAACATATTCAATATCACCCACACCAGTCTCTTTCATTCCATGATCCCCATCAAAAGAGACCACATCCTGAGAAAAACAACTTTTATTCATTACAGCATTCCATATAAGGACCACACCCTTCCCCTCACCCTAAGACCATGCAATCAGCTTAACTCCCACAAGTGATTGACATGTAACTTCTCCCTAAAATAATCATACATAATCCATCAAAGAGGAAGTGAGAATACACGTACTCAACCTTATTAGGTAGAAATTATTATTTTGATCTGACTACAAATTCTTGTAACCAATTCACAAGGGAATGTGGAGCAGTTAGAGGAGAGAATTAACCAGCAGATCTTGGAAATTAAAAAGTTAAAAGAACTGTTGTGTAATGAATCAATTCTTTTTTTAATCACTTGTACACCACTCACTTGGGATTTGGTTCCATATCATCAAAATCTTTGTCCATCACATTAATGTCTACCACTTGAGATTTCCCTGACGATGGAGCTGAGGGTGGAAACATACCTAAAGCCAGAGCTTGAGCAGACTGTGGAGAAAATATATTTCCTTAATTAAGCTCATGTTTTAACCATTTTATGCTCTAAAGTGACTAGCATCTTATTTCTTCTTGCAATATCAACATCAATCAAACATTAAGGTCACAAATATCGACTAATAATATAGAACTGACCTGTCTTGTTCTTGACATATCTGTTAAAATTGTTGAAAAAAGAAACGAAAAATCAACATGAAAAAGAAGTGTACAGCAACAGAATTTCTTGCTTTCTCCAGTAAACATTGATACTTTACAAACACATTTCAAGGCTTCTAAATCTCAGACAACTGTACCCTATGTCACAGCATAAAAAGCCATGTTAGCTGAACCTCTTATTTATCTGCCTTTGACCTTCCCAAAATTTTTTTTTAATCAAAAACAAAACTGCAATAATTAAAACTACTTTTCAAATACCCACCATCTGTTCGGAAAAACACTTCATGACTGGAGTAGTTGGGGGAAAGGAACCCAGTGTCAACGTACACTTGGCGCAAATTCCGTCCATTGACTTCCTCCTGTTTGTATCCTTTAAAAGTGAGATGACCCAAGCCACAGTCACCTTTCATGTCATTCCGACCAGGCATGTAAACTGAAAGGAATTGAAAAAACATACATCAAAATATTATCATTTCTTCAAGGACTTCTTTTTCTTTTGGTCATTTACAGGAAAAAAAACTCTTTTCTGAACATGGGAACCTTCCATTCAAAATGAAATAACTTTGACTGCTCAGTTTTGAGCATAAATAAAGTTTAAGCCTAGAATTTTTTTCCATATTTTAACAATGAAATAATTTCTTAAAAATTACTGCCTCCCAGTAAACTCATTGGATAGAGTGCTGGACTGTTGTTCAGGAGGTCGAGGGTTTAAGCCCCAGCCAGACCAACACTCAATGTCTTAAAATAATTGAGAAGAATGTGCTACCTTTCTATAACATCAAGAAATGGTTAGATATTCTAGTCTTCTTGGATAGGGACAACTAAATGGAGGTCCCGTCTCCTGCAGGGTTAGGGGTAGGAGACGTTAATTTCCCACACACGAGATTACTGTGTGATGGATGTCCTCCCCTGGGGTGGGATGGGTGGGTTTCCACATTTGCATTCAAACGAGCTATTGCTCATATGCGATATGCGGTTAAATAAAATTACTTACTTAAATAAAATTACTTGCTTACTTAGTTACATGCATTAATAATGCCTGTTTTAAATGAATATTGCATAAACTTT